GTTTTCAAAGGCATTGCCTATTATCCTCACCAAATAAACTGAAACTGAAACTATATAATCCAGCTATTCGTAGATCGTAGCAACAGGTAAACACATCTACAGAGATCTACTGACTCATTCGGGTCTCTAGATGTGATGTAGCGTTTGTTCGCTTTGTGGGACAGGCCGCCAAGTATGCTTAACAAAGATACTATGGCAAAATGTGAAGGAATCAGGGGCTATTTTGTCCCTGTACGACGGGTTGAAGGCGAACTGACGGGCTGACGAGCCTCGTGTTCGTGGACTCACAATGAAATTGCGCACGAAGTTGCGCCTAAGCTTAATTTCCGTTCTGAATTCTTCACGCAACGGGCCATAGAACAATGAAATAACCTCCCAAAATCGAACTTCAAAGAACGCTTGGATAGTAACATGTGTCCCCTATTGTCGCTGGGCCGTATGAGCTCGAACTAACCCTCAAAAACTCCAGAAAATAATTATTTATAAAATCAGTGCTACTCACAATTTGTTGATACCATTTTAAAGGTGACTAAATATCCACGTGCGTGTACAAATGTATATGGCGCCCGGCATGTAGCGTTTAAGAAGGCATTGCCTATCACCCTCACCAAACAAACTGAAAACTGAAAAAGGACCACGGCAAAAGGTGAAGAGAACAAAGGGTTATGGTGCCCTTGGTAGAGGTGTTGGAGGCAAACTGACGATTTGAACTGACCTATGAATTATCCCACGGGCCTCCAGATAGGCCATTCCGTCAGCGATCTGCTCAGCCCAGGAAAGCAAGGTGTAACTGTTCAGGCTGTCCTTGTTCTCACGTAGGTAGCGATCCATGCTGCCAAGCTCGACAAAGGCGGAAACCATACACTGCATGTTCTTCGTAAGACAGACGCCAATGAGAGGAAGGCAGTTCAGGTGCGAAACTGAGGCCATCACCTAAAAGAAGGAAACTTTAGTTTGTGGGGATACTATGAGCAGGTTCTGAGCGTCGCACTAGACGAAAATAGAGACATCTAGGCGATGTTTACAGTAGAAATTAGAGGCAGGGCTTGGGAGCAAACTGAGTGAGCACGCGTGCAGGTGTTTGCCGACTATAACTATTCATCTGTACGCCTAATACATTTTGTGGCCGCCTTTCCACTGGAAGGCCGCGTCGCAGCATGTGAAAGCCCGTCCTCTACCGATTTCCTTTAGCATCCAACAGCCCTACTCTTTCGAATTTCCTTGATATGTGAACCCTGCGTCTTTTAGATAATTGCCGTCCGGTTCTCTTACACATGTCACAATCATTGCGAAAATGTTGAAGTCGCACAGTATCACCAGGCAGGATAATAGCCAAGTGCTACTGACTGTAAACAAAAAATCCACAGAAACCTTATTCTGAGTACGCTACGAATTCACGCTGGGATGCATTATCAAAAGCAGTGTCAGAAAGTGATAAGGATCTGTGATTGTCTCCTATGATGGATTTGACTGAGAGTCTAAAATGCTAGATCGATAAACTCCTTCTTTTTCCATCGATCGCATATTATTTCTTTGAATTTCCTGATGGTGGATATTTGACTCTTTGATCGTTAGTGTGATAACTACTCACACCATCTGATTCACCGATACGAGCGCTAGAAATAGCGTTTGCCTGCGCGCTCGCCACATGATAGATTACTTTGCCCAGACCGTCTCACTACCGAAAATACTAGTAGGAGATCATAGTACTTGCAGTGTTTATAACAACTTGCAAACCAATTTGTCGTTTTTATCGGTGTCCCTAACTCCATCCGAGAAGAAACAGAAGTGATCTTTGCGAAAATCTTATCTTCTCGCCTAATTCGATAATCCGCTGACCTTATTCACTATTGAAAAACATCCTACTGATTTTGATTCAGTAACATAATAAACTGTACCTTGGCTTCACTGAGCATTTCGTTGAGATTATTCTCTTTCGTTATCCGCTCCATGACTTTGGCCTCAGGAGATGTATCGCTGTTCTCCGCGGTCACTGCTCTACCGCTGGCAGTACCCCTCACGGGGTCACCGGGAGACGTGAGCACTTTTATGGCCACGTCCAGATCCGTACTGCGTGGCCAGTTGTACTCGGCGAGAATGCGCTTGGGTACCCGCCATTTACCTCTGTACACTGCACCAAAAGCGCCCGTGCCCAGTGGTGTTGAGGATTCATCAAACTGCAGGTCGTCAGAATTGATGATCTCCAAACGACCCATGTTCGGCTCGCGACTGGCTGCCTGACTCTATGAAGACAAAGAAACAAGGCGTTACTTCTAGGACGGCCAACGTCTCCATCCTAGTGGTTGTGCACGTTAAACAGTCTAGAAAAAAGGAACGACGTCTATAGAAAGCTTGTGCACCGACTACAGTGTCGTACTGGGTTAGCGAAATACAAATTGGAATATTTTAAAATCTTTTTCCGGTCGAGTCAGGGGTATGCGTTCTGCATATGCTGAGGAAAAACTATGCTTACAGCCTTCGACAACTGTAAAATTGGTGTAGTAATCAAAAAGGCTTCGCCTCCAAGTGAGTGGAAACGAAGAACTACAAAATGAGCACTTTTATTTGCATAGCTGAACGAGAGAAAAAAAACAAAAAAGTCGCGAGTATTTCCAAACCAGGTTGTTGCTCAGAAGGCGCTAAGGAGACGCAGGATAAGAAGGAATGCTTTTCTAGGAAATTGTCTCGTAGTTAACAAGTTCAACACCTGCCCGGAGTATCAAAATCCTTAACCTACTCGGCTATTTAGAGCGCATCATTGGAGACAGACAAATTTAATCATCTCCCCATACTGGTATTCCATCGTTTTTTGCCGAATATGTACCTAATTAGTGGGTTCTGTCATGGGTTCTGCAGCTTTTGATTTTATATAGTATTTTGCAGTGGCAGTTGTGGTGAACGTCATTTCTAGAAAAACGTACTTGCAGGGGGTTAGTAGACAACACGCCTGAGATGGAAGGGTGTTTGCTAACATCCAATGTTAGAAGGGAGTACTGGGGCGACCCTACGTGAGTTAAGCATTGCACGTCTTAAGGTATTGTACGTATGAATTCGATAGCATTCACATAGGACTTAATTTTTACAGCAAGCAGAGGGCTTGCATTTTCCTCATCCCGATGCTTAGGCTCCCTGGTCCGGTCCGCTTCCACAGATCTTCAATCTATCCATAACATGGAGGAGGCAGGCGAAGTTGAAATCCCTTGCCACCGTACACAAGTTTGAACGAAAGCCGCACATGTAAACCGGCGAACAACAGACGAGGTCTGTATG